AAAACACATGGATTACAACCGAACCCAATAATCATTCTAGCGTAAGGAACCAGAACAGAAAAAGAAAGGTAAGCATAGTCTGTCATGGGTAAAATGGAATGACTCTCTTACCATGTTTTATTCCCTTTTGGCAACCAAGAAACAATACTCAATGCAACATCATCTTCATGGCATCTCAATTAATCAGCAAACAACAACAAAACATTAAACAGGCCACAATCCTCAATAGTACATAGAAAACACAAAAGGGTCTATCCGTACGGTTGCAACAAACCGAGAGTTTGAAGCTGGTTGTAGCAGACTCTAAATCTGAATCTTAAAGGTCCTAACAGCCATAACAAATGATACACGGACCATTGTCGATCAAAACAAGAAGGATGCACGGGGAAAAACGATTGGTTTCTGTTTCTGATGAAATCTATAGTGATATCATCCGAAACCAACTAAAAGTTTACAGCTTCATCATCAGACATCCAAGATGACAGCCATGACACGGATCCACCATCTCCCAAGATGCACAAATAATAATAAAACGTGAAGGAAGAAAACTTTCACAGCAAATTTGGCAACAAATCGATTTAACATCCAGATGAAGGCCTGATGATTCGTGACCGAAAGAAAAGAGAATGAAAGGTTACCTTCGCTCCCTTGAATTGCAAAAAAAAAAAAACAGCGCCTGGATGGAGGAGCAATGAATCCTTGACGCAGGCCAAGCGCAACTGGGAAAAGTTTCACCTTTTTGCTGCGACTGCCCTCCAGATTCTCTATCACCCCCTTTCTTGTTGAGTTGTCGGTTTCTTCCTTAACCCTCGATTGTTTCCGTCTCCCTCTCGGTTCTCTCTCTATCTCACACTATCTCTCCTTCTTAGCTTTTTCCAGCCGTCAAAAGCCTCTCGATTTTTCTTTTGTTTCTTTTCTTTCCCCGACAGTTTTCTCCCTTTCTCAACCTCTCAGCTCTCTCTAGTTTTCTTAGTTTCCTCCGCCGCTGTTCTCTCTCTACCCTCAAACCTCAGCCCTTTCAGCCGTCCCCCTTTCTTTCATCCGTTGTTCCCAAAACCCCCTCCCTTTTATATCCAATGGCAAACCCTAAATCCTCATCTGAAGGGCTCCCCAAGAATCCTCAACTCTTGCCTTTTTTTTAAGCCATCGGATCCTTTCGCTTTTCGCATGCTTTTTTGTAAAAAAATATGATACAAAGAAAGAGTTTTGATCTTGTGTGGGTCACGGTGCATGAGCTTGGTCTGTCCCCCTTTTTTTTTTATTTTTTTAAAATAATGAAATAATAAAAATAAAACAAGATAAACATAATGCTAAAAGAAGGCGTATTTTGTGAACCTTTTCTTCTTTTTTCTTCTTTTTTTTTGAATTTTAATGCTAAAAATGCCTAAACATAAAATTAAGAGACTAATGAGCAAACATGGATAATAAAATAAAATAAAAATAAAAATTTGGTGTCTACATAACTCATAATAGTCAATTCAAAACTAATCACAGATCAATCTACAAAGTCATTACTAAATTGTTAATTTGGTAAAAGAATATATTTAGAAATATTTATATTTTATAACTATTAATATATTGTTCGAATCCGGATCGATTACGAGTCGAATCCTATGTTTCGTATTGTGAGGACTTGCAAATTCCTTATATATTTCTTGAAAATTTCCTTTTATTTGAAAATTATTTGGAAAATATTATTCTATACCAACTTACTCATCAATCACCCTAGAAAAATGCCAATGATTATAGGAAATTAGGGTTTTCCTTTTCGATTTCAAATCGAAGTGAAATAAGGTTTTTCGTGTATCCGTAGTTTAATTATCCGGTACGGAGCGAGGATCAAATTTGGTGCTTAAGAGTGACTTTTAGGTGAGAAATAATATGTGATTAGAAGCAATGATATAAAGTTAGTGAATAGGAAGAAAAAACCCTAGTACGTGTGATTTAAGAAAATCGGCCCGAACCGACGGGTACCGTTTGTTACCGAGTGAGTACACCACTTGACCACCACTTTATTACCTTAATCTCCTTGTTTTAGTTGAGCTAATTAGCTCTTAATTAACCCTTAAGCCAGCCACCATTATTGACTAAGGAAAAGAGAGATATTTTGGTGGACATATTTGGGATTAAGCCATGTGTCACAAATCCAACCAAGGTCTTGACCAAGACCTTTGACCAAGACATTTTCCTTCCTTTTTATCTTCTTCTTGGCTCCATTTTCTTCCATTTTTCTTGAGCTTGGCCGAAATTTTAGGGGAGGGAAAAAACAAGAGAGAAACCTTCAACTCCAACTTCAACTTGTGCTTGAATCTTGAGTTCCAATCAAAGTTTGTACCAACTACTCCATAAAACTTGCTCACTAAGGAGATTTAAAGGCTTTGGTGGAGTGATTGTGGAGAGGAAAACTCTACACTACCATCTTTATTGAGGTATTGGCTGTCCCTTATCTTTGGTGCTTTTATTCTTGCTCAAGTTGCTATACAACTCAAGTTTTGATTAAATTGGTAACTATACAAGTAGTTGTGATGATTTTGGGTGAATTAGTAAGGTAGGGTTTTGTGTTGTTCAGCCATGTTTCTTCTTGTGTGGATGGTATATAGTGTATACAAGCTTGTCTAGGAGGTTGAGGTGGTGAATCAAGCCAAAAATAAGAAGATTAGCATTCGAGTGCATGGATTTCTTAAAATTCCAGAAATGAAACTTATGACTGCTTGGTTCTGCCCGGTTCTGTTACCCATAGTTAGAGGCCGAATTGGCCTTAGCACAAAACATGAAAGTTGTAGATAATGATATTTTATAATAGCCTACAAATTTTCATCTCAATCGGAGCAATATAACCTGTAAAAAGACTGAAATACCCTTGCTTCCCTGTTTCTATCCGAACATACTACTCAGCTTCTGTAATTGGTTAGTTTGACCAGGATTACTACAGATTTGGTTGATGATGTCTTCTTAAGAATTATAGCCTTGTATCTTAGCTTTAAAATGGCTTTTGAATTACCTGAATTGGAGTTGTGTGTGCTGAGCCTTGCCAAGCTTATCTTAATTCCTTGTCTTGTAATGCTTAATTACACTAACTAACATCTAATTAATTCCTAACACAAGGTCATAAAGTCTCCGTATATAAAATTTTTTCCAACTACATTTTTACAGCACCAATCGCCCTAGTGGGTCCCACAACCACTATACACACCTAAAAACACAGAAAATAACCTATATCCTGAAAATGATACAAAATTCATATTTTCTCATAAAATCCCTCCAAATATTCATATAATAAAGAAAACACTAAAACTAAGCCTAAAAGCCTAAAATAAAATGTCTAGAAATAAGAAAATTTTCGGGGTCTCACAGTCTCCACCAAAATGGCTCACACTTTTGCGTCCTATTAGCCATTAGATGTTAGAAATCTCCATGTTTTTTTTTTCTGGGTTGTCGTTCTGCTGTCGTATTTAATATTAAGCAGCTAGTACCTATGTAGTCACCACGAAGTTCCGAGGAGAATGGTTTTGCTTTATTAGTCTCGGATTGTGGCTGTTTTTGTATCTCGTCTTATAAGTAAAGCTGTTCTTCGTACAATTTTCATATTTATGTTGCGTTATGATTGAATGGCAGAACTAGGAAATGGTTTGTATCTCGTTGCATTTTTGTATCAAGTACTCCGGATAGGTTAGCACTCCCGTAGGGTTTAATACGGGCATTATTTTTGTGAAATTGTAACTGATTGAATATTTAATTTCTCCATGATTGACAACAAATGAAATGTCTTACAATGGAAATAGTCCATTTTTCATAATCAATAATCTCAATATATGTAGAATGACACGATTTGGTATAAAATTGACTGCTTTTCACTCCTGTTGAGCATTCTCTGTGAGAACCCTGAAAATAGACATATAAATATCAGTGCATATTTTATTTACATTTTAATTCTTTAATAAATTTTAGCACGAAGTCCAATTGTTTTTAAATAAGTATGTAGAATTAAACGTTATGTGCAAAATAAAAGAATTGTGCTAAACTACTAAACTTCTTAGTTTTGTTACATTAACTTCATATTTCGATGGTAAACTATTTCATTGATCTAATCATTAATTACTTTGAATTCTAGTATTGTAACTAATTGTTTTGAAATAAAAGTGTAAAGATAATTTCTATGTAATAAATAATATAATTGTGCCAATATTAAATTATTCGGTTTTGCTATACTAAATTAATATTTCTTGAGTTAGAATAATTCTATTACTTTAAAATAAATTCTTTGATTTCCGATAACTAGCTTTAATCGTTAATAATGTTAAATGTTAATAGGAATTTTCGCGTTAAGATGAAAACCAATGAATTTTAGATAAATATGATTCTAATATACTAAACATACTTAATGCGTGAAAATTCGATAAATATATCCTTATCTTTCGTTGTTTTCGCAATAAGTGCGTAAAAATACTCTTATGTGCAAATTGACACCTTGGATTTAATTATTATTTCACTTGACTTTATATTATTAAATCAATAAATTTCGAGTTAGACTAACTCTATTTCTTGAGAAATAATAATTGGAAATTATAATAACTAATTTAATCGCTGAATAATATAAGAATTACTAGGAACCTTAATATTCAAGTTTAATCGATAATTATTCGATAAAAAAATGGGTTAGGTATATTAGAGTATAATTAGGCGTTTGAATCGCGCTTGGGGATAATTTTAGAATTAAGATGGAATTGAGAAATTAAGTTGAGGTTAGGGAGTGAAGTGAAAAGGCTAAAATACCTTACCTTACCTTTCCATGCAAACCAAACGAGACGTCTGACTGCAAATCAAATCACGCAGTTATTACCAAAATTGTACGCAAGCCGCTCTTACGCGCAAACTATTCTCCTAAACAGCGGCACTTGTATCATTCTCTTTGTTTCACGTCTCAAACCACAATACTTTCTAATACCACTCAATCTATTTCAACCACGGCCCACAATATTTCTTCATACTACCAATCCAATTCATATCACAAAACCACGATACCATTTGCTCTATTTCACAGCCACAAGACACAATACCAATTTCCTTCTCTGCACAAACCACAAACCGCAACTTCCTTTCTTCTCTGTACAAGCAAACCGCTTCCTTTCTAAATACCGAGACACCACCTTCATCAAATTCCATTTCTTTTCTGCACAACTCCACCGAAACCACTGCACTCCATCTTCATCGTGAAAAGGTAGCATCCGAGAGCAAGAGAGGGAGAGCTGCTCCTCGTGAGTATCGACTGAAGAAAAGCCGCGAGCTGCATTTTCCTTTTGTCTCTACTCTGTCCGTAGGCTGAGGGAAGAGACCAGGGAAGTCAACCTCAGACCAACATCCACCAGCTGCAACCACCTACATCACAACACCATTTCCAGCTGCAAATTGAACGCAGGACCAAACAGGGTGCGTGAGAGCCGAGAGGAAGGAAGAAAATTCCAGATTTCTGTGCGTAAGTTTAGAGTGTATCTAAGGTAAATTTCTGGGCTAATTAAGTTAAGTATTATCAGAGGAAGTCTTATCAGAGGTTGCATGTAATTTTAAGCAGCCGGTTATGGAAATCAAGGTCTTAGAAAAATTCTGCTTTGGAAGTAAAAGTTCTGCCGAGAATTTGACATGATATTTCCTCTTTGATCTGGTTTATTTGATGTGAATTTTGTGGTTTAAGCTTATAATCATAATTAGATAGCTAATAACAAGAAATTAGGCTCTGCATGGGGTCAATTAGTTGGTTAAAGCAGGAAAAAAAAAAAATTAAGAGTGCAATCTGCCTCAGGGCATGATCAACCGAGCCAAGCAAGGAAAATTTTGGAAATTTTTGATGTTAACGGTTGTTGTTTGAGCTTGATTTCAGAACTGGACACGTTTACTTGCTAGCCAGATAGGTGTAAACGGAAATTGAGAGTTTAAAGGCATGTTTAAAACCCGAAAATGAAATGAAAACAGAAAGCCCTTCATGCATTGATGCAACCGTGACTAGTTGGATGAGATTTCTGATTTTTTTTTTATTTGTTATATGAACCTGGTTTTGAAGTGGAATTTTTTAGCAACTAACTAGGTGTTTATATGCTGAAATTGAGTACCTAGCACCATGTTTAAACCGAGGGAAAATTTGATATAAAGCGTATTGGTGGCTGGAAAATGTTGGAGGCCGCTAGCCAGGTTGAACCAGCAATTTCAGTTTGTTTTTGGAGTTTAATTGGTTTTTGGTAATTTATTTTATTTTCCTGGAAGTATGATGATTTGGAAGTACAATAGGGTTGTAAGTTTTAAATTGTATAATTTGTTTAGCAAGGAAATATTTGATATCTTGAATGATTTAACCAAACATGTGGGTATACAAATGCTGGAAACTTTCTTGTGGCTGCCGAAAGTTGAGTTGAAATATCAACTTGGATTTTGGAAATTTTCTTGGACATATAATGGATGGCAATGCCTGGAAAATGTTGTTTTGAAGTTCTATAAGAAGTATAAAGATGGTTTGAATAAAAACATTTTGGTGTTAAAAGAGAAAAAAGAATTTTCACAAGTGAAAAATGGAAGTTCCAGATTTTCGGATATTCCATGACCAGTCTCAATAAAATGTTGATATTTTGGTGTAGGAAAATCCGTTTAAGGCGCCGTCAGTGGCGTTTGAAACTAGAATCATAGGCCTTTGTTCTGTAGAAATTTCGTACTTTTCCTCCATGTGTACTGCTGTCTGTGAAACCTTGAAGTGGACTGTTTTGGTATGAATGTCCTGTTTTCTTCATGGAATTAAATTCTGATTTGAATTGAACTTGCAGCTTACTTGTGGTTTAAATTCTTGATTAAATTGTGGTTGGAAGTGATTAATGTTGTCAAAGGCTAATGATTGATGAAGCCCTTGGCCATCTGAATGATTTTATAAGTACTACAGGGTGATGAAAGTTAATTGCTGGAATGTCTTGGAGGCTTTACTTTTATTTTTAATTGTTTATGATGGGTTTGCTGAAACCAAGTGCTAATGATTGATGAAGCCTTGGTTGACTATTTTATTTTATTCAGAGGTGCACTTGTTGAAATCTAGGGCTAATGATTGACGAAGCCCTAGTAATTTGCTATGTGATTATTTGCCATATTTTAATCCATATTATGACTTCGAAACGGAATCGGAGCTGTGGAAGTTGTATCGACCTTGCGAACTTGAGTAACTGTGATCAAATTAATCAAAAATATTCTCCAGCTAGTATTAAATTATAAAAACTCAATATCTAGTGTTTTGCCTAAAACTTTCCAACTCGATAATTTTCTTTAGCTCAAACTAGCCTTGATAGCTATAGTAAATAAGTTCTATATCTTTTGGAAACTCTAAGTCTTATTTTAATTCTTTTTCTTTCTTTAAGCTTTGCACTTGGATAGTTAACTATAGGAAAAGTTCCAAAATACGAGCTTTACTAAGATTAGTGAAAAGCTTGGGAGACTTGCTCGGCAAGAAACCCTATTTTAGGAAAAATAGTTCTTAAGGATAATTTTTGCAAAAGCCGTAACTTTAGAGAAATGTTCAAAGTAACTTTCTAACATTGTTGTTGAGAGATTTGTCGACTTATTTCAAGAAAAGGATACTAGTTACCCTTTATAAGGAAGAGTATCTTACGGAAAACTATAAGAAACATTTCTTCTAAATTTGTCAAGTTTCAACCTATGGAAATTCTTGATTTTTCTAAGGGAAAGTGAACTAGTAGTATATTAGATATACCTCAATATCTATAAGCTTAAAAACTGAGTAAAAACTCATAGTTTCAAAATTTGGTTTCTAGGATTTTGCGAGGACGCGGAATTCGATTCTCAACTTGATATCTGAACTCCACTCTTGGTGAGTGTCCCTGCCTGTTCTATGCTTACTTGGTTAAAGTGCTTTCTTGACTCGATATGTGATAATTTGCAAAACTAGTTTTTGATCCATCGAAGTGAGCAGTGTGTACTTTATCACACTAGCCGTTCGAGTGGTGACTTGTGTGAAGTGTTTTTCGTGAATATTTTGCTTGCGCTTGCTATAAGTGTTGGACGTAATGTCGTTGGGTGAATCCCTCGATCAGTCTATAATAATCAAGTGCTGGACGTAAAGTCGTTGGGTGAATCCCTCGATCAGTCTATAACAATCAAGTGCTGGACGTAATGTCGTTGGGTGAATCCCTCGATCAGTCTATAATAATCAAGTGCTGGACGTAAAGTCGTTGGGTGAATCCCTCGATCAGTCTATAAATATAAGTGTTGGACGTAATGTCGTTGGGTGAATCCCTCGACCAGTCTAAGGTATACCCGAATATTATTGCTTCCCTATTTGTTTACTTCAGTCGAATCAATACGTGTTAATTGTTTCAAGTGATTGCATGATTTTGGGGCACCACTGAGCTTTAGCTCACCCCACGTTTATTTGTTTTCCTTGACAGGTTCTGGAAACTGAAAGCCTTGAACTTACTTATGTTTCTTTTCTTTTGGATGTAATGGATATTATGGCTATTGTGTGGGTTGTATTATGCTTCAACATGAATTATGTACTTTTGTTTTAGATTGCCACTTGATGCTGGAAAAGTGTAAAACCTAATTTCGATATCTGGTTCGTATGAATTTTATTTGTATACCCGATTTGTACAACCCTATTCCCTGGTTGTAGCGCCTGGGATGTTTAGGGGCCGTTGACTGGCCGTTTTAAATTACTGCTACCTCTGAAGTTAATGTGGTTTAGTGATTGACTTTTTTGAGGGAAGCGATATTGTAATAGTTTAGGTTATTCTTCGGAAGGATTCGGGTTAGTGTGCGTGCGTGAGTCCTGGCGAGAGTTGGGCAGACGGCCCGCCAACCCTCTGGTTCGCCTTAGGGGAAAGTGGGGTCGTCACATTCTCTAAGAGATGTAAAGACTGCGTTATGCTTCAAAAGATTTAATGGCAGCGTCAGAAGACAGTAGTGCTTTTGTTCAGTTGCTGTGTTAATTTACTTATTTTAATTGTTTTCCTGTGATCTTCTATTTGCTCGTGTTTATTGTTTAGAGATACAAGATGGCTTCAATGTTATAATCCTGCTGGAGAAGAATATTACAGGGACTGACTTTGGGGATGAAATGACAATTACGAAATTTTATTCTAGTTACCTAATGAAACCATCTCCAAAATTAGAAAATATTCACCCCTTAACGGACTATATTATACTAATTGAGAATAGTTATTGCTTAAGATTGGATCATCACTTTTTATCATTTTGAAAATTCAGATCAACTCACCAAAACACTTCCCGTAAACTAACTGTTCACAAGTGACGACCGGGTTTTCTGTCCAAGAGTCTGAATGTAAATCTAACGTCCGCGGAAGTTACCAAGATCCCTCTCAGCCATGCCCCATAAACATTAATCGAGGGTTAATGCCGGTTCCTAAAGGCATGGACCAAAGGTTTAGCTTGGAATTTGGACGATTTGGAATTGCAAATCATAACTCATTAGGTATAAATAAATGAATTATTATGATGGCTTTGAGTAAAATACCACATATTTTCTATCCATCTACGCAATGGCATAAGCCGCATCTTCTGATCATTCCCTCTCAACATATGATACAAAACCTAACCGTAGCTGCTCATAATGAACAGCATTGCAATATGTCCTACGAATTAAGCTCTCTAACCAACATACGTATATAAGCTGATTATCTATCTACATAACTACTAATTGTACTTGTAATTCCTTATCACTGTCCAACTTTTCTCCAGCTCCACTCCAATATGGGAGCATCCACATCGAATCTTCTCTGTCTGTCAAATGGATCTCCATCAATCATCCATCGGCCAAGGTTACTCGAGTAAATGTTCTAATCGCCACAGCAGTTGGCACGTTTTGCCTCCCGAAGCTTCTGCCAAAGACAAAGCATTTCTCGAGGACCTTGATAGTGGGCAATTACATAGCCATCTCTGCATCCCACATTGAAGATCCTCTCATCTGTTTCATATTTTACTTCCAAACCTTGCTTCTTCATATCTGAAATCCAAATTCCCATAGCCACATCCTCTAGCTTGAACATCTGCAGCAGTAAACCACAAGATTTTTAGCATTTCAATGACTTTACAAGAGTTAATCAAGGTGATGGAAGCAATCTTATTTACATGCAAAACAACTAAATTAAATATTTCTGAAAGACTACTGGCGTAGAGAGACTGATGCAAAGTTGTACCTTAAGTTGGCCTTTTCTGTATCTCTTGTAGATTGCCTGTGCTATATCATTTGATACAACATATCCAGGACCATGTGCCCAAGGAGGATAGGAGTCATCTGGCCATTCCTGAATTGAAATACAAAAGAGAATGAGATTTGATCATATACCACGGTTATAATCGAAAGAAAATAATATATATATCATGGTTCGAAGTCTCGGCCGAGTCGTCACCGTCTCGGCCCCTACCGATACGATACCGTGACGAAACGATATCGAGATACTTGACTCTCCGAGAAATCGGCCGAGACGTCACTGCTATGGATTGACTCGGCCGAGTCACCCCGAATCACTCCGAATTATCCTGAGTCAAGACGAGAAATCAGTCAAATTACACCGTGACGGATTGACTCGGCCATTTCTTTTGCTATTTTTTATTATTTTTGTTTAGCATACTATTTTTATATTATTAACAATTTTTAGAATATTAAATATTTTAAAATTTGCGTCTCACCGAAACCGCGACCGATATGCCGAGACCGATGTGGAACGTTCCAGGCCGCGACCGTGACCGCGACCGCGACTTTGAACCATGATATATATCACAAGTTGAAATTAGAGATGCATCTTCCAAAACCTCACGAGGTTCAAAATTTCACGAGAAAACTCCATAATCCAGCATCCTGGGGTTATTAGAAAGCTGCTAGAAATGTATGCAAAATGAAAGTCTGTGAACTTTTTTCGGTGGACATGGCAAGGTTTGAAAACTGGAGCACCATCTAACTGAGCTAATGCCCAGGTAGAACTTGAATTTTGCCTCCCTTCAGATAAACAGTCGAGTTGAAAGGAGAGGGAACAGGATTGTCTGAAAGCCTCTTTAGACAGAGGATTGTAACCTAATTAATTGCATTTGCCACGACAGAGGTGCCAGAGGTGCCTAATCTTTGACACCTCTTCCCCATAAAGCCTAAGATTAAAAGTGTCATTACGAACTCTCAGTGTTTCATAAATGTTGAAACCATATTTTGTGCCTTTTATTGACAGGATTTTCTCTCTTAGGTTAGCATAGGGTTAAGCTTTACCCTATAACCACAATTTTCCCAGAATAAGACTTCAGTTATATTGCATTTCTAAGTCCCAATGTCTTCTTAACATAGATGAACACACATATTCTATAAGATATAGCTATCCTTGCATCTATTCCTGTATCTTATGGCCGCAAGTAGAGGTGGCAATTTGGATTGAAATCCATTTATCCATCCATATAATCCATAATTAAATGGATTTGGATTATCCATTTATAGTATTGGTTTTAAATGGTTGACCAAAGTAAAACCATTAAATTAAATGGATTTATATGGATTATCCATAAAAATCATATATATCCATTTACTTAAAAACCAAATAAAATTGAAATTTTGGTGGATAGAGAATTGGGGATCAACTGTGACCGGATTGAGGTGGGTGAGATGCTCCAAGTTGCTCTACTTTGCACTCAATACCTCCCCGCCCACCGGCCTAAGATGTCGGATGTGGATCGAATGCTTGAAGGAGAGGGCCTAGCAGAAAAATGGGCAGCCTCCCATAATTATACAAATCAAGGCACAAACCTTCCCACCCTCAATGCTGTTTTGTGTTTTACCATGTATGTATATATCGTTTCACAGTAAGAGATACTGATTGCTCCAATGAGTAAATAATATTTAAATGGATTATAAATGGATAATTGGTTTTTATTTAATCCATTTAGATTCATCCATTTAAATCCATTTATTAAATGGATCTAAATGGATTAGATAAATTTCATCCACCATCCATTAAGTTAAAATCAATTATGAACCATTTATCCGTATTGCCACTTCTAGCCGCAAGTATTATGTGCATATCTAATCTCAGATATAGATTTTCAGTGATAAAAGGATTAGGCCCTAACAATAAACTAACCATAGAATGAGATGCATTCAGGACAAACTTACTTCAGGACTAATGTACCACTTGCTATCAGGACTTCGATGAGGATGTGAATCAGAATTAATGAGCCCATAAAGCAAACCACAGCTCACATTAATCCTATTCAAGGAGGCCAAAATTTCATCCACCCGAACAAATGCATCATCGTCTGTCTTCATGACAAATTTTGCTGAAACTACCTGTGTCTGTTCAAAAGATTTAAGTGAAAGAGGCACTCGAAACTTTCCATGAGCTTTAAAGAGACAAGACATTACCCCAAATACACATATAGCTAGAGTCTTCCATGTGATAAGGCTATAGTAGTCAACAAATGGCATCAGTTGGATGTCACCATAAGTTTTCGCCTCATTCCATAGCTCCTCATTCACCACCTGGTTTTTATGCTACAAAGCAGAGGTGACACTTTCATCATATTGTCCAACAAATGGCAGGTTAAAATTCAGAAGTCAAATGCTAGGGACATGACTGAAAAAAAATGATACATGTTTAACTAATACATTGAACCGCTCTTCCATGAAGCAACAATTCTTTTGTAAGTTAAAACAGACAAAGTTGTTCCCTTTCGTAGTGCCTATCAAAGAATCTCATCTCTTCATTATGGCTCACTTGTGCTGTTGATGCTATATTCTAGAATCAAGCATGTAAATTCAAGAACTACAGTGTGCAAATGAATTGCTAAAAATTGGTAGAGTTTCAGGATTTGGGCATGTCCTAATCCTCTTTCTAGAAGTAATAGTTCACATCAATGCTGCAGATATACATGCAGCAGTACTTGTGAAATAATATTGCCTGTAATTAAGTAGATAACTAGGGCAAGATAAGTAGCGATTATCCAATGCAAGCATAAGTGACAAATAAAGTAATCAAGCAAAAACATAAACAGCAAAACTTGCAAAACTTACCAGACCAACAAAAAAACGAACTGCAATCGTTCCAGACCTCACAGGACCATACTGCATCCATGTTCTTCGAACAGCCATTCTGCATTTAAAATTGTTGATAAGTCTAATTACAAGTAATTAGAAGTGAACACTAATAAGATAAAGCTGTATTTAGTAAGTGAAAAATTGCATTAAGTGCATTAGAACCACATACTAAAATTACTGCTGCATTTCCAAATTACAGAGTTATAACTGCATTCATGCAAAGAGATGTAGCTGCTTGACAAGCAGCATTAGGCTGAACTAGATGAGATTTTAAAATAGAAATGAACTGAGCATATGCATTTGTACAAGTTCTCTTTATACTTGCTCTAGGAGAAGTTTGAAAATTGCTTACTGGCCTTTCTCTCTTCAGTTGTATAAAATTATACATAGATTGATTGGTTTGAGGAACATAATATGGAAACATGTATGTTGTCATTACAAAAGTTAAGCATAAGTCAGCGGAACTTAGAGCCTTGTACGGCCTTGCCTCTCTTGTATTTTTTTTTTCCAATTCCACCTATAGAGATGGCATAATACAGCCCCTATCATCTTAAGAGATGTCAACCAGAAATTGGAGCCATCCATTAGCTTCGCTTACATTGGCTAATGATGTTAAAACTCACATGTAATCTAGTTTAAATAGTTACTCAATTTATGGATAAAAAATATTGTTTTTCTAAAATTTGGTTATTAAGTTTCTACAATTAATTAAGGCATAAAAGTAAATTCTTACAATTTATTATTAGAAATATGTCCAATTACCTCCCTGGGGAAGGGGGGGTGTGCGCTATTTTAGAAACGACAGGAATGGTAATTGCTAGCTAATTAGGTTTCTGCAATTATCCTACTATCTAATTTAATAGTACTTAATACTTATTCTTTTCTAGGGACAGCTGGAATCCAGTGAAACCCGAAATCCTTTTTTTTTCTTCTGGATTGGGGTATATTGGACGGAGCCCTAATTCCCAGACAGAAGATCTTTTGCTACTTCATCCTCTCTCCACGGAGTCCTCTTGAATTCTCTTAGCATTAGATCTCTGTGGTCTCTCTCTCAAGGGTAATTCTCCTCCGTCCATCCAACTGAACTGCCATCATGATTCTTCTTCCTTCCTTTGATTATTCTTGGCCCTAATTCCCAAATGTCACCCTGCGTCTTTTATTATTATTGACGGTATTGATCTTTTCTGCAGCCGATCGATGCATCCCTACAGGCAATTGGCGGGGTTTACTGTGAATTATCTCATAGGTGTCGCCTGTGGCTGTGGCGCTGTTTTAGCTGGGTCTGCTATACGTCGGTAATCAGGATTTTTGTTGCTTCCCCCAACCCCCCCTCCCCCACCCTCACCGTCTTCTTCTTCTTCTTCAGGGCATACTTCAATTATGCCTTTTTTTAAAAAAAAAATTTCTCCGATTTTTTGTTTTTGTTTTTGTTTTTTGAGTGAATCTGTCTCTAACTCAGGGCTAATTATCTTTCCTTTTTCATTTTATTGGCTTCTTCAGCGGTTGGGCCAGGAGGAATATGAGCTCGTAAGAAGCTTTTGGGTTTGGTTATAGTTGATCTGTTCTAGTTGTTTTTCTGGTCTAAATCTTATTTATGATTCTGTTTTCTGAGCTGTTGTCTTCTCAGGCACCGCACCGGCCGCAGCGAAGGACGAGACACTTCTGGCTGACTGGCGTCTCCATGAAATTGGTCTCGCTTTTACGTGCTTTGAATGTTAAGGCTATGATTAGCCATTACATATTAGATGCTACTTATTTCAACCCTATGTTTCTTGTTATGTTAAAGACTCGTTATGGATTACATTATGTAATGTCTAATTATGGAATCTGATCCTTTCTAGTTAATTTATCAAATAGTCACGTAATTATATTTTGTGCTAATGATCGAGTTTGAAAATTCAATAATTGAAAGCGATGAAGCTCAAATCTTACTGTAGACTTAAGTTGTGGTGACTTTTTGTTAGTTGAAATCAGTTTATACATTGCTCCTCCTTTGCTAATTCTGCACATTTTTTGACAAATTTTTCATAATTACCAAAACGTTAACAAATTGTACAAATGTGTCATGGATTTATTTTTAATGGTAAAAGTGAGCTGTTTCCCCGTTGGCTCGGCTCAGTTAAGACCCGAAGCCGAGAAGTCCCCAATCCCCGTGTGAATCATTTGGGGACAAGTTATTATTACAAAATTTTTTTATTTTTGCATTTTTCGGAATTTGGATTTCGGTTAATCACCACAAAGAGATTTTGAATGTAATTTATATTCTATAATGTGTTTCCTAATTCACGGTATTTAATAAACATTTGGGAAGACCATTTTAACTCCTGTATTAATTATTATTTTGACGTAAAACCAAGTTCTTGACATAGATGATTTGCAATCATAGTTTACTTAGTATTGTATAATTTATTTTCTAGCACAATTTACATTGCTGTTAAACAATCCTGGGCACAAAGCAATATTGGGCATGCACGGTGATCACCTCCTAGTTGTACAATACATGCATTATGCCTCCTAAAATGATTCAGTTATTTAAAAGACACGACCGTCTGTTCTTGTGCATTTGTTAAAACATCTAGGAATTCATAGTTGGCTTATTATGCAAATACACACTCACATGCATTCTTTAAAGGGTTTAGCTAACAAGTTAATTGGGGCCTCTAGTGTTATTTTATTTTTAAATTTTTTGATAAAGTTGAAATTAATTTGAGAAAAAATTTTAAATGTTGGGACTTGGGACGCACTAACTGTGAATGCATGCATTTATATGAAAAATTAAGTGTAATATAAGTGTATCAAGGAGTGCGTCAGGCATATGTTACAGAAATCCCTTGTTAAATAGCTATTTCCCTTATAAGACGCACATGCACATTAATTTGTGCATAATCGAAACGCATAAGCATTAACTTGTATATAATCGGAATTACCATTTCAGTCGGTTTTTAAAGGTATCTTCATTTTTGGGGAGAGTTGTGAGCGTGAGGGGAGAAGAAAGAAATTAGGAAGTACTTAAACCTTTGAATCTCATTATCGTACAACTTTGACATAAGAGTTTCATGTTAAATCACCTATCGTGGTAGAACAATTTCGATCTCTTAAGTATGAGGAATTCTGGAGTATTTATGTGAGGAAACTAAGAAGAGTTATAGCATCCACTCAACACATCCTCTGAGCACAAAATTCGCAAGCAACAGACAATCAAAGGTGGACAAAATTACAATGGAGAGGTAATTCTATATTTCTACAGAAGGGGGGAAAAAGAAGTAAAAGGTAAGTCTTATACCCAAACAACAAAAAAAAGAAAAAGAAGAAGAAGATAATGAAGAATAAAAGACGAAAAGACTTCAGAGGTAAGTCTACAATTGCAATGGCAACAAAGTTGCAGAACTTCATAAAAGCCTGTTAAATGAGTCTTTTGCTGGTCTTGTGCTGTAACTGGAAAACAATTTACGTGAACCAGACACACCACATGAAAAAGCCACTTTTTTGCAGCAAATATTAATTTTCTTAGACTTGAGCCCGCAGCACATCCACCCATGGCTCACTTTTGCTTGTTTCCAACTATAGCTATTAGCCATTGTACCTTTTCATGAGTTTCTTTTTTTGGTTGGTTGTCAAATAATTATAAGTAGTTCGAGTCATTTGTAAGTAGCACCTAGGCTATTGATTAAGTTTGATTAGGGTCGACTTACAAAGTGTATAGTTAAACTAACCTACTCCTCATTAGTCATTCCCATCCTTATTGACCCGTTTGGTTAGAACACATTTGTTTAATCAGGATTACTGCCTCTGCATTTATATTGTTTAAATGCAACCAAATTATATGGTTTGACTGAAATTTCAGGTGAGTTTGGCGGTTCATAGATTTTGACTCACATTCATAAGAGACAATAATATTAATGTTTTGGGACAATTACAACTACTAACTTTAATTTTTCTGTTGTATCACCATTTAATTAGTTCTGAAACATCACCAGAAGAAATTGATGGCACATAACTTTCAATTCTGTTACAAGCCAAAAAAAAAAAAGTATGAAATACTCTTTGTAACGACCGTTCAATTATCAAATTCAGGAATGATTCATAAACTAATTTTAACATAATTTGGAATCACTAAGACTTTGTCTGAATATATAGAGAGAAAGTTGTGTAGAAAAAACGAAGTGATGGAAAAATGAGATAGAGTGAGGTGAAGATACTATAGTGAATGCCTCTCTTTTGCCCTGAAGTGATTTCTTTTTTCCTCATTAGTCAAACCTCTTGACATACATGGTTTGGCACAAGTAGACAAGTGATTTTCATTAAATTTTGATGATTTAGCTAAG